GTTGATCCATTAACGATGATGGTCGAGGCGTTATAAGTAACCATAAATGGAAGAATTTATTTTGCGTATCTCTCGAATATACACTTTACTCAAAATAATCTCCACATGTGTCAAATATTTTTTCTTTCTGGCATATCTATGGTTAGCCACAAAAGCATTCGTAACTGATTAACCTGGCCACGAAATACAGCCACGAGGTTAATGACGAATATGTCATGGTGGTTCGTGGCAAAATAAGCCAAGACATTGCCAGTATAAAGTAATGTGGTTAATTTGGCCTCTATTTTTGTCACGCGTATTTCGTGGCTATTATAGTCACATAATAGACATGAACAAAACCATGACTAATTGGCCACTTAAATGTTTGTGGCTATTTGGTAGAAATTAGTCACAAAACACGAGTGTCAAAACTGTGGCTATACTGCCATGAAAAGCCACAAAAAAAATTTGGGTCATGATTGTATAAAAACGATTTTTTCCCTAGCTTTTTCATCCTATAGCCACAAAATTTTAGCCTTAACCACGAGATTTTCCATGGCTATATTGCCATGCAAACCATAAATTATATCATTTATATAAGACACCTCGTTTTGCAGGGGTTAGACGTTAAACATAAGTGCCTGATCGATGCACATCTATGACATCTATGTTTTTCTCGTCATTCAAATAGATTTCTTCTATGTGTAGGACCGCGAAATCCCGATTTGAAAACAGAGAGAAAGAACTTTTAGAAAACGATTTGGAAAGACGATTTAGAAAACTCGTGAAGGCGAGATATGATATCTCTTTCCGTAATCCAAACTAGCTCCCGCAGATGAGACGGTTTTATGAGCAGCGGACCGCAGGATACAATCACGATGAGACCGTTATCGCTTCACTCGATAGCGGAATCTACGAACTTGATATAAACGATATACTCTTGATACTTACTTTGAGAAGAAAGAGAGAGAGGGAGAGAGTTGTTTGGTTGTGTTTTTGCGTTGAGCAAGTAAAGAAAATGAGAGAGAGGGGCGTTCCTTTTATAGGCGAGAGGAGACGCAACTTGATCCGCAAGAGTTGGCTCGTGGGCGCAAATCTAGGGACGTTGGGAGCGAGAGGAGGACTCGGCCACGACGAGATCATGGGCGAAATATCCGGAACCGTTTTTTCGATTTCGAAATATGGAATATGCTCTAGAATATTCGAATATGCCATTTGTTTATGCAAACTCGATTTTGTTAATGGGCTTCTTCTTAATGGGCCAAAACTTATTTAGAAATTGTTGCATAAATATAACAAAAGCCTCATAAGTATTTTCCCCAAAAAGAATATTTTCTTGTGGGCCGAGGCCCACATTCCCCAAGAGCCCTCGAGCCCGAGCCCGAGCCCGAGCCCGAGCCCGAGCCCGAGCCCGAGCCCGAGCCCGAGCCCGAGCCCGGCCCGGCCCGGCACGGCACGGCACGGCGGCGGCGGCGGCGCGCGTGTATCGTGTTGCATAATGTGCATGTATCTCCTTCACCATAGTCTCCCTTTCCCAATAGCTAGTGAACCATGTTGTATGGGTATCACTATATATACTAGAGGGAAAGTTTCCAAACTTCCAATGTGGGACAAAATTACATTTGTGATTTTTAAGCTTTGAAGCTCCCCACTTTGGACCTCAATTACTCATTCAATATAACTTCAATTTTTACATGTAAATACACTATCTTATAGTGCTCATTACAAGGAATCCAAAGACTCCATTATCCGGTCATTCCGATGACCGTCGTCACCGGAAAAGTCGCCGGAAAGTTGGCCGGAGCCACTTGTGTAAAAAATGAGTTCCAACAATCCCCCACATGAATAGAATTGACTCTAAACATTTTGAGAATTTATAAAGACTCTATAACCTAAAACTGACTTAGACTTGACAGACTGGACTTTCAAGAGTATATGCGAAAAATTAGCTGTGTATGAGATAGTAGCATTTTCAGCCTTGAACTACTCATTGTTAATATCTGTCGAGTTTACTTCTCCGGGAGGTGAACATGATGTCTTGAACCACCCAGATTTTTATGTAAACTAAGACAACAGGTAGAACCCAGCTACTTTTTCTCGTAGAACCAAGTTCTCTAGTTTGTGTTCGTTTTGGCCTTGAACAATCCTGGATTTCATGAGTGAACTTAGAAAATATGGCCTCACATATTTTCCTAGAAACGGCCCCATTTCACACTCACTAGGTGATTTGTCACTACCGTTTGTTTTAAGAAGTCTCCTGTAAAACTCCACTTATATATCAAAGCTTTTGGACTCAATCATTAAAAGCATTGCTTATCCTTTACTTGTACAGGAAGCACTGTTTATCATCTTCGGAACTGGGCTGCGACTATTAGTCTTACAGTGCTCGAGATAGATTTCGTTTAATTTAGTTTTCCCTTTGAACCTAGTTCTTGGGATCTCCAGTCATCTAGGTGGGGTATCCATCAAACGTCATCTTTAATTCATAGGCTTTAAAACCCATTCCTCTTGATGATTTTATCACTTGATTTCGTGCCAAACCCTTGGTTAATGGATCCGCTAGGTTGTCGGCCGATTTGATGTAACCTAACGTAATTACACCGCTAGTAATCAAGCTTCTAATGGTATTGTGTCGTCTTCGTATGTGACGATTCTTCCCATTGTAGTGGGTGTTTAGTGCTCGGGCAATAGCCGCTTGACTATCACAGTGTAACCGTAATGCCGGCACGGGTTTCCCCCACATTGGAATGTCTTCCAAAAAATTTCGAAGCCAATCGGCTTCTTCTGCAGCTTTGTCTAAAGCTATGAACTCAGACTCCATTGTTGAGCGAGCCGTTACAGTTTGTTTTTGAGATTTCCAAGATACTGCTGCACCTCCTAGAGTAAAGACATATCCACTTGTGGATTTCGAATTTTTGGAGTCAGCTATCCAATTGGCATCGCTGTACCCTTCCAAAATTGATGGTTCTTTACCATAGTGCAACCCATAACTTTTGGTGTGTCTCAAGTAATTTAGCACTCTTGTTATGCCTTTCCAGTGTTTATGACCTGGATTGCTGGTATAGCGACTTAGTACGTTTACTGCGTGCGCTAAGTCGGGCCTTGTACAATTTGTTAAGTACATAATACTTCCGATAACCCGTGCATACTCCACCTGTGATACCGCCTCGCCCGAGTTTTTCCTCAAGTGAAGCTGACAATCTACAGGGGTTTTTGCGGTCCCATTTGAGTAAGTTTTAAACCTCTCAAGTATTTTTTCAGCATAATGGGTTTGAGACAGTGTAATTCCTTCAGGTGTTCTAGTGATTTTAATCCCTAGGATAACATCTGCCAAACCCATATCTTTCATGTCAAACTGACTATGAAGCATAGTTTTTGTTTGTTGGATTACATCCTTATTGCTACCGAGGATGAGCATGTCATCAACGTATAGGCATAACAAAACATACCCGTTACGAGTACTTTTTATGTAAATGCATTTGTCGCATTCATTTATGCTGAAACCATTTGACATCATTACATGGTCAAATTTTTCATGCCACTGTTTTGGAGCTTGTTTAAGTCCATATAGTGATTTCACAAGTCTACAGACTTTGTGTTCTTGTCCTGGAACAACAAACCCTTCGGGTTGTTTCATATAAATTTCCTCTTCTAAATCACCGTTTAGAAAGGCGGTTTTGACATCCATTTGATGGATTTCCAGGTCTCGCAATGCTGCAATTCCGATTAGCATTCTGATTGACGTTATTCTCGTTACCGGAGAATAGGTGTCGAAAAAATCCAGACCTTCTTTTTGCCTGAATCCTTGCACCACAAGTCTCGCCTTGTACTTATCAACAGAGCCGTCGGTTTTTAATTTTGTTTTGAAGATCCATCTACACCCTAGTGTTTTAAACCCTTCAGGTAGATCGGTTATTTCCCATGTATGATTTTGCATAATGGAATCGATCTCACTATTGACGGCTTCCTTCCATAAAGGTGCGTCTGGTATAGACATTGCTTCAGCATATGTTTTTGGTTCGTTCTCTGCAAGAAGAACCATCAAGAAATCTTCACCGAATGATTTTTCCTTGCGAGCTCTTTTGCTGCGTCTAGGCTCATCTTCTGCTTGATTTGAGGTGCCAGACGTGCTGGCCTCGTTAACAGCGGTGCTTACGTCTCTCTCGTCCCGAGTACGTTTCAGATTTTGTTTATCCTTACACGGGAAAATATGTTCAAAGAAAGATGCATTTCTTGATTCCATTATTGTATTAACATGAATATCCGGAATATCTGATTTATGAACCAGAAACCGGTAAGCACTACTGTTGCGTGCATATCCGATGAAAATACAATCAACGGTTTTTGGTCCGACAGTGACCTTTTTAGGAGGTGGCACTGCGACTTTTGCAAGGCACCCCCACACTTTCAGGTATTTGTACGATGGTGCAGTACCTTTCCAGAGTTCATGGGGCGTATTGCCTGTTATTTTGTGCGGGATTTTATTCAGGATGTGGTTTGTGGTAAGCAAAGCTTCCCCCCACAGGTTCTGGGCTAACCCAGATTCCTGCAACATTGCATTCATCATTTCTTTCAGAGTTCGGTTTTTTCGTTCCGCAACTCCGTTAGATTCCGGTGAGTAGGGAGCGGTAGTTTGATGGATAATGCCATGTTCTTGACAAAATGCATTAAATGGCCCATCATACTCGCCTCCTCTATCACTTCTAACTATTTTAATAGTTTTCGAGAGTTGATTTTCAACTTCGGTTTTATATTCTTTGAATTTCTCCAAGACTTCATCTTTACTACGTAGCAAGTAAACGTAGCAGTATTTTGTACAATCATCTATGAAAGTGACAAAATACTTTTTACCGCCTCTAGTTTGTACGTACTTTAAGTCGCACAAGTCTGTGTGTATTAATCCTAGAGGTTCAGTTGTTCGTTCGACACGAGGAGATGGTGTTTTTGTGAGTTTAGCTTGTACGCATATTTCACATTTTTCTTTGCTTATTTTGCATTTTGGGATAGAGTTCAAATTAATTAATCTTTTCATAGATTTATAATTCACATGTCCTAACCGCTCATGCCATAAATCAAAAGACTCAACCAAATAAGCAACTGAATTTTTATTGATGGAATTGTTGGAAACAGAAGTAGAAGCTACATCATCTTTCTTGAGGACTGTCTGAACACACATTTTGACCAGTCCTCCCTTAACAAAACCTTTGCCAATAAAGACACCATTCTTCCTCAGGATCAGCTGGTCGGACTCGAGGTTGATGGCAAAACCATGCTTGTTCATCAGAGTCCCAGAGATTAGATTCTTCCTCATGTCTGGAACATGCTTCACATTGGTGAGAGTGACAGACATCCCTGAAGTCAGCTTCAGGACTACCTTGCCGGTACCCTCAATCTTGGAGTGAGACACGTTGCCCATCATCAGATTCTCACCAGACTTGCATTTCTGATAGGTGCTGAACATGTCTCTGTTGATGCAGATGTGGGTGGTCGCTCCAGTGTCGTACCACCACTCCATTGGGCTTTCGTTGGTCATCACCACATTTGCTTCAGTGACCACCGCACAGAGGTCACCTTCAGTCAAATTAGCTTGATTGGTTTGACTCTTCGCCGCCCTAGCTTTGCTGCGACACTCGGCAGCTTTGTGACCTTTCTTGTGACAGAAGGTACACTTCATAGCAGATTTCTTGAATTCACCTTGCTCACCTTGCTTTTTAAAGCTAGTGGAGGGTTGAGGTGCTATTTTGTTGCCAGCCTTGTTGGGCGTAGCAGGGCCTTTGTTGTTGTGAACAACCTTACCCTTACCCTTTCTCTTGTATTCAGCCATATTCGCATCATGAGTAACAAACCCAGATTTTTCTTTCTTGGTTGCTTCATTTTGCAGCCTGGCAATCAAGTTCTGTAAGCTCAATGGTTTTTGCTTGAATTCCAGGTAGTTTTTGAAGCCTTCCCAACTTGGGGGTAACTTCTCGACAATGGAATTCACTGTGAAGACCTCACAGATCTTCATTCCCTCATCAGCTATCGCGTGGAATATCAATTGAAGCTCATTCACTTGGTCCATGATGGGCTTAGAGTCCACCATCTTGTAGTTGAGGAAGTTTGCAGTGGCGCATTTTCCAGAACCTACATTGAAGACTTTGAACTGCTTTTCCAATTTTTCCCAAAGGATCTTGGAAGTGCTGACTTCACTATACACATTGTATAGATTGTCCACCAGGTAGTGTAGAATTTGGCCTTTGCACAAGTAGTCCCCATGGCTCCATGCTTGGACGCTAGCGAGGACCGTTGGATCAGTATTACCCGGAGGTAACGTTGGTTCGATCTCAACGAGATACCTAGTCAGATTCAAGTTGTGCAGATAGAAATGCATCTTTTTCTGCCACGACTTGAAGTTGGTTCCATCAAACTGTCCTGGTTGAAGAGTGGAGCTCACTGACTTAGGTACTGACACAATAGCACTTGGAACTGATCCAGATGACTGACCGGTAGCCTGTTCATTTGGTTTGATCGTTCCTTCGCCTCCACCGTTGAAGGTAGCTTTTTCTTGTTCGTTAGACATCTGCTCACGAAAGAAAATAATGTCAGTATTGACAATAGATTTTAAGAATAGCGATAAGGACAATTTAATGTAATTCGCTAAAATTAAAATATTCTGTGGATCCCGTTATAAAACGTTCCCAGAATTAATTTTAAAAAAAACGTCTACAGGAATCGTTTTTTGTAAACGTGTGTAGAATCGCTTTTAGATCGCTCGGATCGTATACAAAAACGTTTCGCGAAACTCGCCAATAGGCCTTCACGGAAACCGTTTGAGATGTATAGAAAATGTTTCGCGAAGGCCTTCACGGAAATCGTTTCCAGATTGGTAATGTATATCGTTTGAAATAAACGTTCCACGAAGTGGCTAAAAAGCTTTCGCAGAAGCGTTTGTATCGATACGAAAAACGTTTTGAAAACCGAATAGAAATCGTTTTTTAAAAGCTGTTCGCGTATGGATCCGTAATGCGATAGCAGTACGGATTAGTTTGGATTACGACTGTAGGACCGCGAAATCCCGATTTGAAAACAGAGAGAAAGAACTTTTAGAAAACGATTTGGAAAGACGATTTAGAAAACTCGTGAAGGGCTTCTTCTTAATGGGCCAAAACTTATTTAGAAATTGTTGCATAAATGTAACAAAAGCCTCATAAGTATTTTCCCCAAAAAGAATATTTTCTTGTGGGCCGAGGCCCACATTCCCCACATTCCCCACGAGCCCGAGCCCGAGCCCGGCCCGGCCCGGCTCGGCACGGCGGCGGCGGCGCGCGCGCGTGTATCGTGTTGCATAATGTGCATGTATCTCCTTCACCATAGTCTCCCTTTCCCAATAGCTAGTGAACCATGTTGTATGGGTATCACTATATATACTAGAGGGAAAGTTTCCAAACTTCCAATGCGGGACAAAATTACATTTGTGATTTTTAAGCTTTGAAGCTCCCCACTTTGGACCTCAATTACTCATTCAATATAACTTCAATTTTTACATGTAAATACACTATCTTATAGTGCTCATTACAAGGAATCCAAAGACTCCATTATCCGGTCATTCCGATGACCGTCGTCACCGGAAAAGTCGCCGGAAAGTTGGCCGGAGCCACTTGTGTAAAAAATGAGTTCCAACACTATGTACCATGTCTTTGTCTTGGACATGTATCCCAATTATGTCTCATCCTCAAAGAGATCACAATGCCAAACATGTAGAAATATGCCTAGTGCGTCGTATGCAAATTTAACTTTCGGAATCCCCCAAGATACCCGAAACCCGTTATAGCCTTAGCCAAAAGCTACAACAATTGAGGAAGAGGAAAAGCAGCGACAGTTAAGGAGAAAGAAACCAGCGCCGTTGGTGTAATTTCTTATCGCCGAGACGTGTCGCGCGACACCTAAAACGAACAGGGTCCAAGTCTAACCAAAATGCATTTAGGATCGTGGCTAATCAATCGATCTAAGACAGTGATTAACGAGTCTTGACCAAATTTTTGTCTAACGTTTCATATCTTTTCGTAGATCATCCTACACTAACAAACTTACCGAAAATGCCCATGTACTGATAAAAAAACATGAGGGTAATTTCGACCTTATGGATAACTTAACACCCGCCACTAAAACCCACAAACAAATCAGTTCAAAACGATTTCGACCAAAAAAAAAAAAAAATCAAACCAAAAAAATGGCATTGAAACTCACTTCTCCGCCTTCAATTTTCTCACAATCAAGGAGATTATCTTCTTCGTCAATTCCTATAAGATCGAAATCCACAACAAGACCATCTTCATTCACCGGATTTCGCTCGAAAACCGGAGTTTATTTAACCAAAACGGCGCTTCCGTCGTCTACGAAAGTTAATGTGGCGGCGGAGAGTCCTCCGGCTACAATTGAGACCGAGGATTGGGGAAAAGTATCGGCTGTGCTGTTTGATATGGACGGTGTGCTTTGTAATAGTGAAGATCTTTCTAGACGCGCCGCCGTTGATGTTTTTGCTGAGATGGGAGTTAAAGTCACTGTAGATGATTTCGTTCCTTTTATGGGAACAGGTAAAATCTCTTAAGGATTTTGATTCTTTGTTTATGAAATTCGTTGATTTATTTGGTTTGGCAATTCACAGGTGAAGCCAAGTTTTTAGGAGGTGTTGCTTCAGTCAAAGAAGTAAAAGGATTTGATCCTGATGCAGCTAAAAAGAGATTCTTCGAAATATATCTTGATAAGGTTATGTTTAGGTCTTGATTAGAAAATTGTTGATGTTCTTGAAAGATAATGTGATTGATACTCGGCTTTGTTGTGTTTTGATTTGCGTAATTTCTTGTTCTCTGTATCGGTTATAGTACGCGAAGCCAGAATCTGGGATTGGATTTCCGGGAGCATTGGAGCTTGTTACTGAGGTGAGGGAAAATGAGTTTGTTGAACTATGGTTTTGAGGCTGGTGATTATGATTTGCTGTGGAACTTTTGAAACAGTGTAAGAACAAAGGTCTTAAAGTTGCGGTTGCATCAAGTGCGGACCGTATTAAAGTTGATGCAAACCTGAAAGCTGCTGGTTTGTCTTTGACAATGTAAGACTAAAACAATCTTTTATCTCTTTAGTATTCATTTCCTATTACAGTGTGGTATCTGGCAAATAGATTGTATATACACCATCGTATTTGTTATTGTATACCCCTTTCTGTGGCATTATTCTGCTGTGTAATCTTTTATAATATGTCATGGAGATGTTTCTGTGCGTTCAGGTTCCATGTCTAAATATATGTCAGTGATGTTAACTTTCAGGTTTGATGCCATTGTTTCAGCAGACGCCTTTGAGAATTTGAAACCAGCTCCAGATATTTTCTTGGCTGCTGCAAAGATATTGGGTGTGCCCACAAGCGAGGTAATAGTCAAAAATTCATGTAATATCATATCGAGATGAGGTTTTGTTGAAAAATCGTCACACACCCACAGCTTTTATGAAATCATCGATAAAAATAGAAAACAATATCGAGGGCAATCCATTTGTAGGCACTAGGAAGTCTCATGCCTTAGAGAACATCACATTATATTTAAAAGTACTTGTTATTGTGCCAAAAGCATAATTAGCTGTATATTTGCGCATACTTGAAGTTGAAAATCAAGTAAAGTAAGAGTTTACTTCATCTGCTAGACTTACAGATCTTATTTACTTGTTTTTCTATAAAGCTACTTCAGAAGTGGTTTCTTTTGTACAATTTTGTAGTGCGTTGTTATTGAAGATGCACTTGCGGGAGTCCAAGCCGCCCAAGCTGCGAACATGAGGTACTTTACTTGTGTGACAGAATGGCATGTCAAATTGTTATTTCACTTTTTATTTTGAATACAGACAATTTGATTTGATACATTATTAGTAACTTCAAGATGTCACTACAAAGTCTGTAGAATTTCTAGTTTAGTGCTTTACGTCTAATCTATCTGTTTGCACTATTCATATTGTTTCATTTTAACAATCAACAAAACGTCACTTGAGGAGTTCAAATTGCTTAGAATAAATCTAGCTTGAGTACTGTAGAACTAAGATGTTCTAGCTTCGTCATTGTTAAATCCATCTACTCGCTTTATTAGCTCTGGAGTTAGATAATTTTTATTCATTCTAAATTTGCAGATGTATAGCTGTAAAAACTACTTTATCTGAAGCAATTCTTAAGAACGCTGGTCCGTCAATGATCCGAGACGATATTGGAAACATTTCAATCAGTGACATTCTCACTGGTGGCTCAGATTCTACCAGTATGTAGTCTCAAAGAAATTCGATGGAAAATATCGTTCTTTTCATGTGTATTTATTTCCTGTTTAATCCTTTTGAAAAACTTTTGAATAAAGAGGCTTTCTTTGTAATGAGAATATGAGATTACCCATTTAAAACATTCTTTTCTACTGAACTTATAGACTTATAATTCGGCAATCGATGAATTTATCATCATCTAGTTCATAGTGGCTTATACAGTTTCAACCTTTTCTTTTTACATGCTTGAGTACTTACGCAGGAAATTCCACAGCAATACTTGAAGAGAACACGGCCAGCAACAAAACCAGCGCTAACGGGTAAGAAAGGTTCCTTTATCCAAAAATTAATACCAAGTGAAAGTCCTCTGGTTATCAATCATAATTATCTTATTGATGCAAGTAGTTTGGTGTTGAGAAATGAGAACTAAGTTTAGGGTTTATGTTTATAATATGCAAACAGTTTATTCGAGCCACCTCTGGTGAGAAACGTTTATGATTTACAATGTTAATGTTGAGGAATTCAAGAAAATGTTGGGACTACAGAATTTGAAGAAACCAGATATTTTTACACGTTGACTGGTTTCATCATTTGAGAATGAAACAAATGATATGGCATGTGGAAAATTTCATATACTTGAGATTGCAGATGCAATTTTCCAACAGGTTTCAGGGCTCCCGACGAGATATACTGAGGTACGGGAGTCTTGGCATTGCTCTTTCTTGTGTCTACTTTGCCGCCAACAACTGGAAGGTAAACCTGAAAACATACATAAGAGAATAATTCTTTCTGTCAAAGCTTTTGTTTGATCTAATGGAGTTGCTGTTTTATGTGTAGGCAATGCAATATGCTTCTCCTAAAGCATTGTGGAACGCACTGGTTGGAGCAAAAAGCCCTTCTTTTACACAGAACCAAGGTTTGGCCTATTGTCAAAATTTCCACGACACTTTTTAAATAGAAAATATATCTTTGCATAAAAAATAGCTTTCTGGATTGGTTAATTATCGACAAATTCTTTCATATCAAACGGTAAAACTATACCGGAAATAGGAATCTTGTGTAAAAGATAGTGAGAATGTTTAAACTTATAACCAACCTCATTTTTCCTTAATAATGATATGGTCTTTGCAATCTTATACAAATCTGTTCTGTAGTTAGCTTTATCGCAAATTTCATCTAGATGAACTAATCGACAGGTCTAATACATTTTTGATAGTGTAAAATTTACACTGATTTTTTCTTAAAGCAAGTATCTCTATAAACAAACAGATCTTGGGCCAGAAAGTTTTCTTACTAGAGAAGATTTCTCTAACGAACATTATGTATAGTTTCATCGTTACTGAATTCGGATGTAAAGGAAGCTACCTGGTTTTTTTTTGTCTTACCTTTTGTAGGTGAAGGGAGAGTGCAACAGTTCGTTGATTACATTGCTGATCTAGAGAGCAAGTAAGTATAACTAGTTGATAATTATTCATTTTCATACAATGTAAGGCAAGAGTTCGATCATTCGGTAATTCCCTCGTTAAAAAGAGATTATCATATATTAGTACTATAGATTACATAAATTGGAAATTATCACAAGCCGGAAAACAAGTTGTGGATGATCTTCTGTTTTGACTTGTGTGGTTGCTCTGTTTCTATTGTTTTATTTCTAGGCAAACAGCTACAGCTGTGCCAGAATTCCCATCTAAACTTGACTGGCTAAACACTGCCCCTCTCCAGTTTCGGCGGGTAAATTCTACTTTAATACCAAATTTATATCTTGCAAGTGAACTCTTGAGGAAGAAAGGGAGTCATATGCTTCTTAGTAACTTTTGTCATTTTGTGAGCAGGATTTAAGAGGGAAAGTGGTTATACTTGATTTTTGGACCTATTGCTGCATAAACTGTATGCATGTATTACCGGATCTAGAGTTCCTTGAGAAGAAGTACAAGGATATGCCAGTGAGTCTTTACTATTGCTGCTCTCTTATATGTTATTTTGGATCTTCAAGCAATTCAAATCTCACTAGGGATGACTGAAGCTTCAACCTATGAATTGCAATCTGTGTACAGTTCACCGTTGTGGGTGTACACTCGGCTAAGTTCGACAATGAGAAGGATTTAGATG